ATACTCTCTCTTGCAAATTAGTTCCAGCATCCAGAATACTTTCTCTCAAGTTACTGAGTATAGCCGGTCGGCTATAATATTTTTTGAAACAAATTAGAAAAAAAATCGTGTATTTTTATAAATAATAATAATAAATGCGTATAGCCGGGGCTATACTATTTTTTTTTTAAAAGGAAAAATATAGTATAGCCGCGCGGTTATACGGTTTTTAAAAAGCAAAAACTAAGTATAGCCGCGCGGCTATACTATTTATCATTCACCAATGGTCTTGCGCAACTCTCTCTCTCTTTGTCTCTGTCTCTGTCTCTGTCTCTGCGTGACGCAGTGGTCTTCCTTTTCCATCATTCACCTGCAAAAGGTACTGTTCATCGTCAATTTGAATTGGTTTAGGAGTTTCTCTGAAGTTGCTTTAGGGTTTATGGGTTTCTATGAAATTGGTTTAGGGATTTCTTCGAAATTGGTTTATGGTTTATGGGTATCTCTGAAATTGGTTTAGGGTTGAGGGGTTTATTTGAAATTGTCTGATTCTGATGATTCCTTGTTTGAAACATTGAATGGGTTTGTTCTTTGTGGATTGATTCTTGCGTTTGATTTGGGATTATGTTGTTTTGCTGTTGTTATTGATGTTTCAATGTTGTTTTTTGCTATCATATTGCCAATTTAGTGGTTTTGTATTGGCATTTTAGTGCTGTTGTATTTCTAGTTCATTATGGTTTTAATGGTTTTGGCGATTTATGCAATTGAAGTATGTGTTTCCTGTTGTTTTTTTTCATCCAAAGAAGGGAAATTGTGTGTCTCATTTATAGTCTCTACATTACCTAATTTGTGGCATCGAATGCTTAGAAATTCCAGTAGGTCATTCTTCAAGATATTGAAATATATTAGAATGACAACATATACATCTGTGTATATATGTTTATTGTGAAATTACATATGGAGTAGGAAGCCAATATTTGGATCTGTAAAAGTGGTATAAAAGCAAGTATCAAAACATTGTAGGAAGTGGAATTTGACAGGTGCCTCAACGTTTGCACTTCATATTATGCTTATAGTATTTATGTTCCTTGCATATGAGCATGGACCTAATGGGCAACCCATGTAAAACATCTTGTCTTCTGTCTCTTCTCTCCCCTCTTTCCGGGTTTATTATGTAATTCAAATGGGAACAAATTGATGGGAGAGCAAATGTGATATTCATGGCCAAGTTATGGGAAACTTGGCCAACAAGTTGAACAAAGCATATGCTGGAGAAGTGAAGCAAACTCTAAAAGCACTAAGTCGGAGCAAAGAGTTAGTATCCCTCAAGTTAAAATTGGAAGAGACAAAGAAATATTTTCTCCAACAATTCACAAAATCTGAAGAATATAACCATGAAATGGTTGAATGTTTCAACAACGGCTTCGAGATGTTCCGAGATTATGCTTCGGTCATCTCACCAGACTACAATTGGAGCGAAATTGATGTAGCTGGTGTCTGGCAGGTGCTGAATATGGGTGGAAAGGGAATGGCTCATCATAGCCTCGTGCATGCAGTGAGGATGAAGGCCAAAGACATGGATCTTTTGATGGACCTCTAAAAATTTGCATTTTCAACGTTTTGTGCAGCTGGGTAAGGGTGAGTGCTAGTTCGATTGATGTTGTGTTGGGTGATGCGATGTGAAAGTGTTGCCTTCGTTTTCCCTTCGCTGGATAGTATTGTTAGGGTCCGGTGGCGATTTATTTTGCATGCGTAAAATGTAGTCTGAAATGAATGTCTGCGTGTTGTATGTAGATTGACCTAATATTTCCATCCTATTGTGTGTGTATTGTATTAATATTGCCACTATATTGTATATATATTGTACGAATATTGCCACCCTATTGCATGTATATTGGCATACTATTGCTACCGTATTGCAGGTATAATGCCCTGAAATTGCTACTTTATTGTATGTATATTGTCCTAATATTGCTACCCTATTGTATGTATATTGACTAGGGCTCGTCAATGGGTTTAGGGTTTAGGCTACTTCATTTGAAAAGAAGAAGAAGAGGAGAAAGAAACAACGTGCCTTTGAAAAAGAGGCACTCAGTTGCATCATAATTACACTGTAACACGGTGTCACAAATAATTTAAAAACATAATAACAATGAAAAAATTACTTACAAAAAAAAAAAAAAGGATGGTATGAATAAATATGCAACTGCTTGGTCAAGGGTTGGAGAAAATCATGATTATATTTGGTGGTGTAATTATGTTTGGTGATATGATATGTTGTTCGTCTTATTATTCTTCATATATGTAATTGTTGTATTAATAATTGACACAAATTAATCTCCTAATCATCCAATTATAAACTAGCAATGAGTAAAGAAAAGTGAATGAAATTAAACAAAACAAGGAACCCAAAATAAATACAAACAGCAATTTCTAGCACCCTTTTATCGTCACTGTATCCCCACTGTATCACCATGGTAGCACCAGTTTATCATGTTTTAGGCAGAAATGAATTATGCACTTCCTCTGTTCTTCAGTTTTGACATATCTCCATTTTTTTACCTTTAAATTTTCAACCGGTTATGCAAATTTTGTGTTTTGTATATGGTTGGATTCGGCACAGAAAAATGAAGAAAACCACACGGACCAAATGTAAAAAATGGATACAAAAATGAGCAAAATTCAGTGGAAACAAACACAACGTTTCAAACAAGTAAACTATTATACCTCCATAATGAGCAAGTATGTTTATATATCGAGCTGTACGAAATAGTTCAACTTCACAATGTACAGATTAAGTATGCTAACCACGACGGCAACTCAAAAAAAAAACCCAATTTGAAAACCGAATGACAAATACATCCCTATTGGTATTCATTACACGTACTACCAAATTTGGTTTGACAAAATTGAAATTGATGCATATTCCTACTCCAAATTAAGTACAATTGATCTGCCATATCTACAAAATAGAAATATTCATGTGCCATGTAAGCCAATTAGCCACAACCATCGACATTATGGATCACCATATCAAGCACCTCCAGCATAGCTTCCATGTGTGCATATTCATATAAAGGATTTCCTGAAATAATGAAGGAGCAGAGTGAATTCCCAAGTGATAAGTGAAGACTGAACTCAATTGACAAACATGATCACATTTACCTTATATTTACCAAATCAGGTAATGTAGAGGCTATAAATGACACATACAATTTCCCTTCTTTGGATGAAAAAAAATAACAGGAAACACATACTTCAATTGCATAAATCACCAAAACCATTAAAACCATAATGAACTAGCAATACAACAGCACTAAAATGCCAATAAAAAAACCACTAAATTGGCAATACAATAGCAAAAAACAGCATTGAAACATCAATTACAACAGCAAAACAACATAATCCCAAATCAAACGCAAGAATCAATCCACAAAGAACAAACCCATTCAATGTTTCAAACAAGGAATCATCAGAATCAGACAATTTCAAATAAACCCCTCAACCTTAAACAAATTTCAGAGATACCCATAAACCATAAACCAATTTCGAAGAAATCCCTAAACCAATTTCATAGAAACCCTAAACCAACTTCATAGAAACTCCTAAACCAATTCAAATTGACGATGAACAGTACGTTTTGCAGGTGAATGATGGAAGAGGAAGACCTGCGTCACACAGAGAGAGAGAGAGAGAGAGAGAGAGAGCTACACGAGAGAGAGTTGCGCAAGAGAGGCCGAGCGCTTCCCGCGATGGTGAAAGAGAGAAGAGAGAAGAGAGAAGAGAGAAGAGAGAGTGAGAGCTGACCGAAGTGAGAGTGAGACCTGAGCAACGAAGACAGAGAGAGCTGAGCGACAGAGAGAGTGAGAGGGGCGATAGAGAAAGTAAGAGGCGCCATAGAGAGAAAACAAAACTTCAGCAAAAGTGATATGTGTGCAATCAGTGAACAATAAAAATGTATTTATAGGTGATAGTTTTAAAATTTTAGGGGAGGGGTGGTATTTTCAAAAAAAAATTATAAAATAGGTGGCATTTTGAGCTATTTCCCATATTTAAAAGGATATAGCCGTTCGGCTATACTATTTAATATAAAAGGGTATAGCCGCTGCACATCCGTTAAACTCTCAAATTCTCAATCATCTGAGCATGCTCAAACTGAATGTTAATAGTCTTGTCATAAGTGATTTTCAATATAGGGTAAAAATTAAAAAAACAGGAAAACAATATTTGGGGTTCGAAAAGTATGCAAAAATGAGATGCAGCAATTGGAGGCCAATTTGGCATTGCTGTGCTGTGAAAATAATCACTGTTAGATTTGCTGTAAGAGAAATCAGGTGTAAGAGAAAGCAATTTGGCATTTGGTAAATTTTTTGTTAAAAGTGTTGTTGGTATTGATTCCCGTATAATCAGAAAATGATTGCCACATAATCAGTTTTTATTTTCTATTTATTGCCTTAATTTTTCTGGTTAAATGTGTCTGGAGGTTACAAGTGTTGGATGCCTATAAAAGGACACTCCTCCTTCACATTTGAAACACACCACAATCAAATTTCTCTATTCTTATACTTTCATATATTTCCTACTTTCCATATTATTATTTTGGGCAACGGTTCTGTGGCTTGGAGATTTCTATCTGACTGTGAACGTGCTCATAACTGACCTTAAGCCTGAGTATTGGGGTCGTATCTAGGAGTCTTGTAGACCGTCATTACCTGCACGTAGGAAGGCTACAAAGGCTTTAGGACAGCGTCTTTGACTTGCTTTCACTATACCAGGCTTGCTTTCTTACTCTTGACTTATTTTATTTATTTATTTATTTATTTATTTTTACTTTACTGTTAAAGCTTTATTTAATATATTATTTATATCTAAAGGTTTGAATAAGAATTTTATATATAATAAAAAAGGGAAAAACCACAATTGTCTTAAGAACATAAGCTACTGGGGAACTGCTCTACTATTAAACTTACTTTTTTCCGCTGGCCTCAAATGACATTTCAAATATTGGAAGCCCAAAAATCGTAGAGGAAGTCACATTCCTGTATTCAGAACTCTGCTATCAGTTTCATGTGTGCCTGTAAAGCAAGTAACTACTAGCTGAAAAAATATACATATATATATACACACACAGAGCAATTGTCCAGAAATATATCAAGCAAAAGGGGTATATCTAACTCAGTTTATTTTTTTGCTGTGTTGTCAAAGTATTCAAACATTGAAACATAATTTGACACAATAACATGTCAAATTGTCCAAAATGGTGACATAATGTACCCATGAAGTGTCTCATGTTGTCGGCGAAGAGTATCGCCAATACCAAGGGCATCTAATGCCTTCCATGCATTTGTCCATGTTGAGAATGCAACCCCTGTTGTCCTCAAACTATCCGACGATTCCAACACTAAGCTTCGGATGCTAAGCCTGCAGCCAAAAAAATTTGAATTTTGCTTGCTGCTTAGAGTCATATTGAACTACATACTTACAATCATAACTTGTTTTAGCAGTACTACACACACACTCATGCACAGATGAGAGAGGGAGAGAGAGAGAGAGAGAGAGAACCTATGAAGTCCTAAGGATGTTGCAAGGCCAGCAATTCCAGCTCCTACAATCACAACTTGTGCTTCTGCTTCTACTTCCATGAATGATATTTGAGGCTTTTACTTTGGTTCAATTGGATAGTGCTATAGTGGGAGTACAATTTAGATGACGATCACACTAAAGACAAGTGACAACAGCCAATGTTCAATCTGATCAACCTTTTCTTATCTATTATTGAAGCACTAAACCCCAATAATGCCACCAAATGCTTTGTATTGTTTATTTAGCAGCCATGTTTTCTTTTTAGCAGCTATCTTTGAGCACTAGGAAAGTGTAATATTGTTTGTTGGATTCATCGGTATAAGCCGTCCTACACCAACTAACTCTTAATCTAATGGCGTTTCTCTTTTCAACGTTAAAAGATGTCTCAAGTTCGAATCTTGTTTCCCATGTAGTTAATAAAGATTAAAAAGAAATGTCCCTTTACAGAAACTCCATACAAATTACAAAATGACAAAGAAAGTCCTTGCACTAATATGATTGACATATAAGGTTACATGCAAATCACTATTATATATGCAGAGGAAGTATCATTGCATTTAAGAGATGCTGAGCTTCCCACAATCAAAATCTGACTTCTTCAACAACAAACCAGCCAGGATTGGAGATAAAAATTTGTCCCTCAAGAAGTTCATAAATTTTCTATCACTCTCTTGTAAGAAACCAACCACATAAGATGTACTAATCAGATCAAAGCTTCTCCATCTCCTCTCATTGGCATACTTGTTCAACCCCATCTCAATCCTCTCATACTCTTCCTTTCCTTCTTCACCCTCCTTATCTTTTCTTTCTCCCCCTGAGTTCTTCAACAAGGCCTCACCAAGACACCTTGCCAATACAACGCCGTCTTCTAATGCACAGCAGCCGCCTTGGCCAATGTCTGGGGTCATGGGGTGGAGCGCGTCTCCTGCGACACAAGCATTGCCTTTGCTGATGTTTCCCCAAAGAAGCTCCCAAGGATGCCTATATCTCAATGGAGAGGATATAAAAGCATCCAATTCGGTGTTTTCTACCACAGCTTTTACTTTATCAGGTATCTTTCCGAGCTTGCTTAACATATATTGCTTCAGTTGAGCTGGGTTCTCTTCTAGTTCTTTCTCTACAAGACATGAAGAATAAACAAAAAAATGCAACATACAGATGCTGGTTTGATTGCAATTACATACTACGAACACTTATTAGCAGCCAATATGAAGTCCTAAAGTTTCTGAATTGAAAAGGAAAAAAATTATCCTCTTGTCCAGATGCTGAGTAACATAGTATGAAACATTCTATCACGGTTTTTTTATTTGTGGTGAGATTGAGATCTGAAAACCATTTTGAAGCATACCGATACCGGTGCTACAATGCGGCGAAACAGTACCAATATCTAAGGTTCTATCTTAAGTTATATTTTTTGCCCCAAGGATCTGTTGTATGTTTGAGCCTTGAGGGTACCAAAAGGAAACATGGAAGCAAAGAATCCCCAAAATTTGTGTGAAAGCTTACCTTGGCAAGAGGGAGTCCAAGTAATGTACCAGTAAACATTTGTATCATCACAAGGGACGGCACCAGATCTAATACCATTCCCAAAGTGCTGCATGAACATGGGATCAAATCCATGGCTGCTCTTGAAGGTAGCACAACCTCTAATAGCAGATCTCCCTGTAAATGCCGGCTGCTTGAAGCCGAGCCATTTTGCCACCACAGAGTTCACTCCATCACACCCAACCAAGACCTATTCAATCACAACATTATTACTGTAAGTGACTAGATGAAAGTACCTAAAAAATTAAGTATTCCATCCAAAAAGAGATGATGTTATGTTATTGGTTTACACCCACCAAACAGATACTCTGCTTAAAAATGAATAAGTAGTCCCTAAAAAGTGAAGCTGTTCTAACGGCCTACATGTCGTAAAAGTTTAAGGGTATTTCATCGAATTACCTCCTAAACTTGTACCTAATTATTAATTTACCCCATGACCTTTTTTTTTAGAAAATTAAGGACTCGAACTAACTTTTATTCTCAATGTTCCCCCTTCCGTCTAAATCATCAACATTTCATCCAATTTGCCGTTAAATCATTGGAAAAAGAAATTAAAGAAAAGAGAACATGTAAAATAAAAAAAAATAAAAAAAACCTCCCCACAACCGTAGCTGTCTCCCCTTTCGAAACCCACCCTAAGACCCAAGACCATCCATATCCCCACCGTCACTGAATCCCCTTTGGCAACCCAACCCCAAACCCAAGACCACCCTCTTCCCCACCGCCGCCTACCCCTCATCTCACCGACCCAGAACAATAACTAGCCTTCGCTCAAGCGACAAGGTTTAACTCCTGGCTTGGAATGGGTGGGCTTGAAGATTGCCAACCCGAACCTGACCAGCTAATACTGGGCCAATGTTTCAACACCTCAAAGCCCCCACTCGGGTTAAAAGCTCATGTTGCGAAGCCTGGCGATACAACTTCCTCGTGTTAGGTTTATAAAGAGTAGTTTTTTATAACAACCGAGCGATGTGGGATAAGTTGCAAGAGCGAGTGCCTCTTTAGGATAAGATCTTGGCCCTCAGATAAGGCTTATTTAGTGTAGTGCCCCCTGAACTTCAGTCAAATCTCACTTTAACTTTGTGATTTCGTGTTCCACTTTGCCCCCACCGTTATCTCCATTAATAACTCTGATAGTTTTGATGACGTGGCAAGGTTATTTTAGTTTTTTTACCAAATGTAATTACTTGTTTACTTAAAAAATTATATTAAAAAATGGGAAAATTAATAAATAAAAATATTGCTTCTCTATGCTTTAAAAATAAAATAAAATAAAATATTAAAAAGAAAAAAAAAACTACCCAGATCTAACTCTCACAAAAGATCCCTAACCCTAAAAATGGCCTCATCTCCTTTCTCCTTTCTCCCTTCTCTACAACAAACCACTGCACCATCATCCATAATCACACAAACCCACCACCAACCATATCTACCCACAACCCCCACCAGCCAAACCCACCCAATCCCCAAAATTTATGACCATGAATTTGGCATCCATTGCAATTGGCGTCATTCCCCTATAGAGGAATTAGGGGAATTGACAAACTAAAAAATTAAAAACTTTTTTAATTGCAGAGCTTCTCTCTCCGTTAGGGTGGGGATTTGGGGTGAGGTGGCTATTGGGGTCGAGGAAGTTTAGGGGGCAGCTGGGTGTATGGTGTCGTTTTCAGATGATTAGGGTCGGGGGAGTGTTGATGGCTTGGGTGATGGTTTGGTGGCTGGGTTGGTGGGTTGTGGCTAGGGCTCGTCAATGGGTCGGACCGGGCTAGCTCAGCCCAAATTTAATAGGCTTGGGCCGGGCCAGGCCAAGCTTTAAAGAGTAGAGAGAAAATATCAGGCCGGGCCGGGCCGAATTTTTTTAGAAAATTCAAAGCCCAAGCCCATCTCAAGGGTCGGGCTTAAAAAACCCCATCGGGCCGAGCCGGGCTAAGCCCAACAAGGCGGGCCTAAATGGGCCTAAAAAATAATAAGTGTAAAAAAATATATATATATTATAAGGATGGTATGAATAAATATGCAAATGTTTGGTGATGTGTTAAAGAAAAGTATGATTATATTTGGTGGTATGATCATGTTTGGTGATATGATATGTTGTTTGTCTTATTATATATATAATTGTTGTATTAATAAATGACACTAATTAATGTGCTAATCATCCAATTAGAAACTAGGAATGAGTAGAATTCAATAGAAACAAAATTTTTCAAACTAGTAACACACACACAAAAAAATGAAAGAGGGGGATTTGTCATTCAAGTAATGTAATCCTAATCCTAAACCCTTATTTATACATAATTATATATGTATGCGGGCCTAACGGGCTGGGTTTTTGTGGGCGGGCTGGGCCGGGCTTTCATGGGCTTAATCGGGCCGGGCCGGGCTTCAAACACCCAAGCCCAAGCCTAGCCCAAGCCTAAGCGGGCTGGGCCCTCTCAAAGCCCATAACGGACCGGGCCAGGCTTTTTTTCGATGGGCCGGTCAGGCCCTCGTAGGCCCATGAACCCGCGGGCCAAATGATGAGGCCTAGTTGTGGCTCGAGGCTTAGATGATTGGGGGCTGAGGGAGTGTGGTTAGCTTGGCAATGGTTTGGTGGCTGGGGTGTGGGGGTGCTGGTGTGGGTGGTGCTGTAAGGAAAATGGTGGTTGCTGGACAAAGGGTGGGGCTGCATTATTTTCTTAATGTTTTTATTTTATTTTATTTTATTTTTTAGTTCTGTTGTTTTGTTTTTTTATTCTTTTGTTTTTCATTTGTTTTGTTAATTTACTACAATCTTGATATGGTTACGGTTTTTTTAATATTTTATTTTATTTTTAATGCATAGAGAAGAAAGATTTTTATTTATTTTTTTAATTAAACAAGTAATTACATTATTTTATATTTAATTCAATTTAAACCAAAAAAGTGGGCCATTCACATGACACATCACCACTTGTGATAAAAAGACTAAAATAGCACTGCCACGTCATCAAAATCATATTCAAGGGAGTTAAATGGGCCACTTTAACTTTTGGGGGAGGTAAAGTGAGATTTGACCAAAGTTTTAGGGGGCACTACCATAAATAAGCCTTCAAACAGATACTCTGCTTAAAAATGAATAAGTAGTCCCCAAAAAGTGAAGTTGTTCTAACGGCGTACATGTCGTAAAAGTTTAATTTTGCCTTGTGGAACCAACCTAGTTAGGAAGAAAATGACCAATAGCAGAGATGCAAAGTTTCCAGCTTTGAGGTTAAAAAAAGAAAAAAGGTTTTGGTTCAATTGGGACAGTCTAGCAGGCCATGGCGGATCCGAGTGGCACCGACCCGTTATCCTTCCACTGCCTAGAGCGGGAGGTAGTCGTTGCTCTGTGAAGCCAGCCTTACGCAGTGACCAGAGCCTTCGCTCAAGCCACAGGGTTCAACTCCTGGCTTGGAATGGGCGGGCCAGAAGATAGCCAACCCGAACCCGACCAGCTAATACTGGGACAATGTTCCAGCACCTCAAAGCCCCCACTCGGGTTACAA